TAACCAATGAAAGATATGGGAAGGCTTTTAGGACCTGCCTTTAAGTCTGTCTTCAGATATAGATTGATTTATTTCAATATAGAATGCTCTTTTCTGTTAGTAAGATTTTAAGAGATCCACACATGCTATTCTGTTCAGTTCCCCATAGTAGGAGGAGGTTTCCAAGCATGCTTTGAGGTTGCTGCCTTTCCCTGTGTCCTGTCGGTAAAGCCTTGAAAGTAACTTTCCAGGGCATTTCTTGCCTTTCTAAATTCTGCTCGTTCACTGAGATCCAGTCAAAAGCAATGATAAAACTTTCTCTGAAGGAGTCATGAGTTCATAATCAGTAGCACATAATTTAATTATTTTCTCTCTTCAGGACAGGGCAAATGTTTTATGCTTTTGATCTACCCTGTGGCTTCTATGTGATAATTCATGTTTACTGCATTAAAACACAAGGATGAAGCGGGGGCCCATTTCTCCTTCTGGAGTCAGCTATGCTATTTTATAGTCTTGGCCTACAGAATTTATTGACATATCTTTCAGGTTATATATATCCGGATCTTCATGGGGCTGGGTTTCACTTTTGGTAAACATCAAAAACTTTGAAGCTTAAAAATATCACAGAGACTAGATCACACCATGGGACTACAGAGTCGGTATTCCCACAGGATAAGGCCTGGACATATACATTTTTTAAAAGCTGTTTCAGTGAGTCTGCTGCACAGCTCTGGTTAAGAAAGCCCGCTTCACAGAACATGAGGGCCACTCTTTGACAGAGCCATGCCCACTGGGGATCCCAGACTCCAATGTCCTGTATGTACCCAACTACCCACGGAAAACCGCACACCATTATTTCTAGGATTGACCTAGGGGCCCTGGACAAGTTCCAGAAATGAGGTTAACCTGGGGTTAAATTATATTTTGTGCAGGGATTCCTCCCTCAAAAACAAAACAAAACAAACAAACAAACAAAAAAAACCAAACAAAAAGCCTTCAGTGCAATGGCTTTGGGAGTAAGGAAGGACCAGAAGAAAGAGCATAGAGGCTTCTGAGAGACGTGGTGGGACAGGACCAAAGCTAGAATTATAGGCAGGTGGCCATCTATGTAATGTCATTTTTAAGGGCCTCCTGACTTAAAATTCCATCATGAAAAATTTAATCCTTTTGCTTAAAACGTTGCCCTTGCTAAAATGGAAGTGCCCGTGAATCACATCTGCTTGGATTCATCATATCCCTACCTGAGAACTCATTGCAATGAGGCCTGTGGAAAGATCTTGAAAAAATGAGTGTCACTAAGGGTGTAAATGCAGCTGGACAAAGATTGCTACTTTGATTTGTATAAGGAAACTGCAACAAACAAAGATGGACAGATAAGCAGTCTATATGTTTGCCCTGCCTGTCCTGCTGAGCAGCTCCTGGGAGGCAGAGCTGCCAGCTCCTGCCCTAGAACTGACACACCTCAGCCCCAGGGAGATGGCCTCAAGGCCTAGGCTGGTCCTGAGAGAGGGGCTCTGAGATCCTGGCTGAGGATTTTCCCCTGACTCTGTGTGGCCTCCAGCCAGTCTCCAACCTGCTTCTAGTTTCCTAGTCTGTCAAACCAAGAGAAATGCCTCTCTGGGGCATCGTGAGAGCTGCTCCTGCCACTGTCTGTAAGCTTGTCCAAATACCATAGAAAGAAAGCTTTGAGAAGTTTTAAGATGAATTACTTTTACTATTCACATTGTCTTTATGACATCAGGACTTACGTGGCATTAGGAGAAAGGAGAACTGACAGAATAATGGAGAACACAACCACCTCTCTCAGAAAGGCAATGTTTGTAGTGGACAAAGAAACACTAAAGGGGCTTTGGGGTTGGGGTGCAAGGGAGAGAAGTCTAGAATTAGTATCAGATGCCACCAGAAGCTAACGACCCGACAAACACCGTCCTCATAAAATAAATTCCTTAAAAAGGAAGCAAATGGAAACATAAGCTAGTGAAAGAATTTGCAGCAGCTGCCCTAAAACCATTTCTCACTTCATAAACAGGTCTGGGTTGGTCCCTTTTTTTCTTTTTCCTTTTTCTGGCCTTGATCTCATTGCATGCCACTTCTCCATCCATGTGTTCCCCTGCTGACTCCTCCTCCCACTATCAGTGCTGGATGCGCTTCTTGCCCTGGTAGTCGCAGCAGCAGTGCTCCATGCAGTCACCCCTCTGAATGGAAGGAGGCTCACTCAAAGTATCTGTTCACTGTCTTGGCTCAGCATGTTTATCCTCAGTGCTTATGTGGATCAGTCAGATGCAGTCACTGAAACCAACATGGTGCCATCTTCCATGATAATTTCTTGGCAGCTGGCCAACATGAACCAAAGTGTGCTAATGACTCTGTTTTCCAGTACCTTCTGCTCAATATGCTGAAGAAGATATGTATTTTGGACAGCAGTGGCATATAGCATCTATGGAGCCTGGAGTTCTTTAGCACCACTAATGAGGCACTCTCATCCTGTAAAAGGTGGTCAGATTTTACCTGCCTTTTTCAGACATAGAATGAAGACTCAGAAACAAAGACTTATTTCCTGTACTGCATACCCAATACTCAGCATTGGACCTGGGAAGTCATGCTGATTCTTAACTCTTGTCTCCTTCCTTGACTCATCAGTTCCTGTAAGGGATGCCATGTCATCATAGGGAGTAACTAAGGCATAAAGGAGTAAAACAGCTTCCTTCACATCACCCACCTCTACTTCCTCCAGCTCATACTAACACACATGAATTAAAAAAATGAGAAGGTCACAGAAATCACATGTGATTTAAATCCCAAAAGTATAAGATCAAGAACAGCAAATTTTTCAAAGTTAGATCAAATCCACCCTTTTGGGGCTAGTGCTTTTTTAAAATCAACTCTCAATTATCCAAGATATTGTGTGCATACTCAATGACATTTTATTTCCTGCTTTCTTATTGCATTACCTAGCTCTTTGGTAAACTCATTGACCTCTAACACAATACAAGGGCAAACAGAGCCCATTAATGGTGAAGAGGTTCACAGCAGTCATTTTGGCTAATAATTAGCACCACTGGTAACACATGCAAAAAAAAAAATGTGCTCCCTGCTGGGCCATGAGTTCCTTAAGGGCAAGGTTCTTATTAATCCAGCAGCACAGAGACCTGTGTCTTGCAAAGAGCAAGTGCTAGTAGATGTTTAATAACGAGTGATTAAATGGGGCAATATGGTTGACACATTGTTGGGTAATATTTTGTATTTCAGATCCCGTCTCTTACTATGTAATTCAATACTTCTTGACAGGCATTGACTTACTTTGCTATCTGTAATACTAACATATTTAACTTAGCAAACTTACTGGGTCTACTGCAGCCAAGCCTAGATGAACATAAAAGTGGATAAGAGGGAGTGTTTCTCTCTAGCAAGCTCTACTTGGAAGACTTAGTATTTAGGAGACATTCAGATACTAATTGCCTTGTAGATAAGAGATTGAATTAATTAATTAATTAACAAATTTATAAACAAGAAAATACATACATAATACAAAATAGATGAAAAGAAATGTTACAAAGTAGTTATTGCCATAATTTCACTGAGAGGTTTAAATGAAGATATCTGGAGGGTTTTCTTTTTTTTTTTCTTTCTTTCTTTCTTTTTTTTTTTTTTTTGAAAAGGAAGGCTTTCTAGAAAGCTCAACAAATAGAAGTGGGAGGACTAAAAGGTAGAATGGCCAACAGCAAAACACAACACTGAGGGTATGGCGCCGGCCACTGGCAGTAGAACAGTAGAGGGAAGTAACCTGGAAACAATAAGAATCTGTGAGAAGTTGGGTGTGGTGGTGCACACCTATAATCCTAGTGACTGGTGAGGCTGAGGCACAAGGATCTAAAGTTTGAGACCAGCTTCAGCAACTTAGTGAGGCCCTAAGCCTCTTACTGAAACCCTCTCTCAAAAACCAAATAAACAAACAAACAAAAATGAAAACAGAAGGGCAGGGGATGTGGCTCAGTAATTAAGTGCCCATGGGTTCAATCTCTGGTACCAAAACAAACAAAAGACCTTATGAGATATGGACCATTATTGTCCCATATAGAAGGAGTGAAACACTAGGGAATGAATAACTCACTTCAGTCACACATATAGTAAATGATGGAGCCAGGATCTGAGCCCTTTGGTCTAGTGCTAACACTCATATTGTTTTTCCATGGCAGGCAGGCGGCACTCTTCTTGCTCCATTGTGTCCTTGCAGCTGTCTGGGTCTAGGCTCAGGCTGGGTCTTCTTGAGCCTTGGGTAATTTATACAACCTCCTATTCCTGATTGGTTGGCCCTAGCGATTCAGGAAGCAGATCTCTGCTGAGAGGATGTCTCTGAAAGTACCTAACACAATGTCAGATATATGAGAGGTATCCAGTGAGTGTATTTCCTCTTCCTGTTAACGGGCCACTGTACGATCAGCCTATGCTGATATTCCGTGGTGTGTACTTCTGTAACTGAGCCTGTATCAAAATATTTTCATACCAATAATTAAACAGACATTGTGTTTTCTGTCATCTCAAATACCCAGGCCCTTCATATAGGGCCCCCTTGGACCTCCTTGTGATCAGGCATCTGGAAGGTCCATGCCTGACCTCCAGGGGTCTCCAGGATTCACTTGTAAGCTTTCCCTGAGTTTGTTGTGATGGTTTGGGAATCAAAAGTACTGTTTGATCAGTAATTTGAGTACCACCCTCTTCTATTCATTTACCACATTTCCAAAGCTCTTGAGATCCATTGTCCTCTTTATCCCATTCCATTTGATTCTTCTGGAAGGGCCATAGAAAGTCGTTTAACTGTTACTTGTTGACTATCCTTGTTTATTTCTAATGCCCCTTGATTCTAAAATAATTCAGAAGAAAATGGTGTATGAAGTGTAGGTTTTGAGAAACAATTCTTCTCTCTGGTCTAGGAGGCTTTCCCAGAGTGGGCTGTGGAGTCATTGCTGCTGCCTATGGCTTCTGAGCCAGTGCTAAGATGCTTCTGTTTCTGTCATCCCCAGCTGCGTCCATCGGCCCTGTGGGGAGCAGGGCAGCTGTGCACCATTACTGCTTGATCACGTGGATGTGGTGAACTGTACCTCTAGTGGCCCAGGTCACATGAAGTGTGCTATCACCTGTCAAAAGGGGTTTGCCCTTCAGACCAGCAGCGGGCAGTACCTCAGGCCCATTCAGGTGAGTTGAGAGCCACAGTAAGTGATGGAGCCAGGGGTCCTGGGGCAGGAAGCTATTCATATTTTTCTCCCTGGCTGGATGAGGGAAGGGTAGGTGTTTGTGAATCATTTGAAAGGAGAACGTGGGGCTCTAAAAAGCAAAGAGAAGCATGTCTTAATGGAAAGGAGGTATGGAAGAGTGTGCATAGCTTTCATGAACTGGGATGCACACTTACTCTGTAGGTGGGCAGTGGGTATTAATACTTTTTCTGTTCTTCTCTCTGGTTTCTGTTCTTCTCTCTGGTTTCTATCTTCCTGACAGAAATTATTTTCCCTGCTTTTGCCTTAGAGATGAGAATGCCATAGGGGAGAGTTGTCCGTTGGGTGATCTTGGTTGTAAGTGGCTTGTCTATGGTACATTATCCCCTACCTGCCCCAGCCCTCCTTACCAGAGGATGGACCCTTACAGCCTGCTCCTCCCCAAAGCATCAAATCTGTTACTGAGGCAGAGATTCCACCATGGTGCTGGATTTGGGTGAATTTCCTACGTTTCTACAAGCCCCATTCCAAGTCTCTTCAGCACCAGTTCCAGGATTGCAAGGTAGTTTGGAGGTAGTGGAATACATTGGTTAAGAGCAGGCTCCAGGGACAGATCTGAATGAAATTTCAGCTCCACTCTGTATTAGGTATGTAACTTTGGATAAAAGCAAACAAAATAAAACTAATCTCTTTAAGCTTGTTTCCACATTTGTAAAATCATTGGAACAAAAAGTACTCATCTCTTTGAGTCATTATAATGACTGGCTGAAAATCATTTAAAAGCTTCTAGTAAAATGATTGGCATATAGCACTCTAGTGTTCAGCTGCCATTATTTCAAGCATGGTAATGAATTCCCAACTAAGAGGTTAGTTAGCTCTCCATCCTTCCTTCAGAGGGTTTATAAAACTATAGAAAAGACCTGTAGAAAACATGGCCATGTTTTGGTCATGATAGAGATCATGATCATCCTTTGGAACCTTCCAGGTTCATGCTCAAACAGAACCAAAGGATGATGGTGCTTGAGGAAAGATGTTATTATCACAAGAAAAGAGTAGAAATGTGATTGTTAGATATCAATGGTTTGGAAGATTGGAGTGGTTTTCATTTTGTGCCATTTGATTGCTTAGCTGGTCGTGAGCATGTAGTAGCATTTCACTTGCTTAAAGAGCATCAGAATTTAAAGACACAATCTTGAGTTACAAAGGGTTCAGGTTCTGCCTAGAGAGAAACAATTTTAATGAACCTTGAGGTACCAACTTCACGGTCCCGGATGCTTTGGTTGAAAGGCAGAGCACTTGTCACCTGTTCTTAATTCATCTCCACTCAGGCAAAGCTATAAAATTAAGATATAATTTAAAAGAATGGAAAAAGGTAGGTAGTGAATACACTTGTGTAGTAGATAAAGAAGGAGAGAGAAGAAAAGCCACTATTTGAGGTACACACAAATTAGGAACCCATCCAAGGCAAAATGTACAAAGCCAGGGAAAACCCAGGCAATAGATGCAATGTTTGAGAGCATTCTTTAAATGATTAGTGGCTTCTTGTGGTTTGAGCCAGATTTCTTGGCTAAGTGAGTAGGGGCAGAACCTGACTGGGAGGGGAAGCTGGGAGCTCAGCCTTTGCCAGCCACTGGGTGGAGTGAGCAACAGAGCGCCTGTCACCTGAGGCTGCCCCAAAGAAGGGAATTACACAATCCCAGCTCCTGATCACAAGACAGTGGGGATGTTTGGTCTTTGTTGACACAAGAACTGAAGCTAACCAGAAAAATGTGTCTGGCTTTGAGTTGGGTTCTTCAAGCAGGCAACAGGAAAACGTTGGGGTACAGGGAGGAGCAGCTAGCCAGGAGGTGATGTTGGGGTGACAGGTACCTTTGGCACATATTTGACCTTTGGTTTTGGTGCCACTGTAGTCTCTTGGCTGGCTAAGACATATAAACTCCCCTCTCTGTCTCTGACCTCTAACCCAGTTTCCTGAGTGACTGTTGGCTGTGATTTTTCCAAATAAGCCAGGTTCATGTTCACTCCATCCCCCCGCTGTGGAAACCTTCTTCTCCCCCAATACCCACTTCTCTACCAATACCCCCCATCCCCAGTTGCTTCAAAGTTCTATCATCTGTCAAGGCCAGTCTCTGTGCTGCTTCCTCTGGGGAACTTCCCAGCCTGTCCCTCCCTGCCAAGGCTGGCAGCCCCACCTCCAGCCCCTGTGTGCTGCCCACTCCACCCGACACAGTACCATATGATTTGGCATCACTTTCACATGTTTGTTTTCTTCCTCTGAACTCCAGGTTTCTAGTTCTTTTATTTTATTATTTGCATTCTTTATATCATATTTTCTCCAATCAATATAGAAGTAGGTAGCGGGTATTTTATAACAACAACAACAACAAAATCCTTAGCATTTTTCTTCTTTACTTCCTTTCTGACTTCTTTGTTCCTTTTCTCCTCCTTTCCATTCTTCCTCCTTTAGACACTTTCTTAGCCACTGTTTTAACATACAATCTGCTCCCCCAGTGGATTTTTAGCTCCTTGATATCATCTAGTTTAGTACAGGCCTGGGCCCTTGTGGGCACTCACTCATATTTATTCATGAAGCAGCAGCCCCCAGGAAATGACTGGACTCTCCAGTTAACCACAAGGTACCTTGTGTGCTTTGACTGTCAGCTCTTTTTAGATACTATGCACCATTCTCAGGGGAGGTAGTTATTTTCAGTAATAATTTCAGTTGGTTTATTAATAAGTATGCCAAAAGGAATCAGTTGATATGCTCGAAAGTGGGATTTTCGAGAGAATTTAATGCTGGATACAGGGAGGCCATAGGAAATGGTGCAGTTTCCCAGGATAAAGGGGCTCAGCTGTCACTCTTAGGCCTAAAAGGTTATGCAGGGATCAACAGAATCCATAGGGAAAAGGAGCAGAAGCTGTATGAAGGGGGATGGGCAACCCCCTCTGTCAGAGGGAGCAGGAGGATTAAACATGAGGCTTCCTCTCCTCTCTCCCTCTCCACCCTTCAGCCACTGCATACTAGGGAAGAACCAAGCACAAGTCAGAGGCAGGAAGTCCACAGGGGCCAGTGTTCCTGGTCAGTGTCCCTGAGGCAGAGAACAGATCTGGCAAATTAAGGGGAGATAGCAATCACGATGGCCTGGAGGAGCATTGCTACTTCATGGTCCTCTGATATGCAACAGGCTCCTGTCAGCATCACATTAAAAACAGTGAGGCAGAAACAGGGAGCAAGGCAGAAGAGTTTTACCTGTTTTAAATGTTTGGACAAATGACCACTGGAAATTTGCTGAAACAAAATCTCTGTTTATAGAAGGAGATTCTGCTCACATGTTCCTCTGGGCACTGGAGCCAGGATGTGAGCTGTGCACCCCTCGACTGTGGCACTCCTGACTCATCTTTGGTGAACTATGCCACCTTCTCCTGCCCAGAGGGCACCCATTTCCTGAGACGCTGCTCCATCTCTTGTGTCCCACCAGCCAAGCTCCAAGGTACTGCCTGGTCAACCAGCAGCTGTGAGCAAGTTCTCCTTGGTCCCTCACTCTTTGGGGTAGCTTGAGGCTCTCTGCTTTATCCCCACACCCTTCCCATTTGCTCCATGGTGACACCCCCTCCTGATAACAGAAAAAGTCCCAAAGGGCACCTCCTTTCTTAGTCCTTTGTTCAAAGTTAAAATTTGCAGCTATTCTATGGATTTGGGTTTTGTTCTATTTTCTAGATGAGACAAACACAGTTATGTCACTTTTCCCTGACTATACCACTAATTAGAGATAAAGGTGGGATGGAACCTGCTCTCACTGACCCTGTGCCTTGCTCTTTACCTCACCGGGCTTCTTTGGCATGTCTAGCCATTATTTGTGACGAATGCAGACCTCAGGCCCTCCTCTGCGAGATGCAGATGTTGTCCGTCTCTGGTGGGCTGGGGATGTTACTTAGCCATGGATTGCACCGGAAAAGCAGAATGACACAGAGGCCTGAGCAGTGTGTTTCAGTATAGAACCCTGCATCCAAACTGCTTGGATTCAAACCCTAACTCTGCCCCTTTAAGCTTGGGCCAGTTATTGAACCCCACTTTCCTCATCTGCACAAGAAGTAATAACAACAGACTATTTCATAGGGTCATTTGAGGTTTGAAGTTTACACAAGCTAACAAATGTAAAAGGCTTAAATCAGTGCCTGGCATTGATAGCCACTGTAAAAATGTCATCGAGCATGATTTTCATGTTGTCATTGCTGTTTTTTTATAGTCTCTAAGTAGGGAGGGAAGTCAGGAGTTGGTTGATAGCTTTTCTTTCGTTCAAATGTTTATGTGACCTCTGTTCTATATAAGAGACCACACTGGTTCTTTGTCCTATGGTAACAAGAAATGCCACTCCCCAAGGAATACTGTGTCTGTTGAATAATGTAATACGTTGGTGGGTTTTCATTCTCTCTGCTATTACCATCTTCTTGGACTCTCCATTCTAAGCACCCTATGCTTCTCTTTCCTGGAACCAGGACTCAGCCCGTGGCTGACCTGCCTTGAAGATGGACTCTGGTCTCTCCCCGAAGTCCACTGCAAGCTGGAATGTGAGGCTCCCCCTGTTATTCCCAATGCCAACCTGCTGCTGCCTCACTGCCTCCAGGGCAGCCACGACGTGGGCAGCATCTGCAGATACGAGTGCAAACCCGGCTACTACGTGGAAGGGGGTGTGGAGAGGAAAGCCAGGAAGTAAGTGGCAGTGCCGGGGCCTTCAGGCTTACCTGCCCTCCCTCCCTGTTCCTCTTCCCCATGTGTCAATCCCAGAACTTTCCTTTGGAAATCACAGAGAGTCCCCTGGCTGCCAACTGTTGGCCCTGTTTGGTCTCTGTACAGTCCCTCCTCCCCTGAACAGGAATGTTCTCCAGTCACAAAGGCAGGTGACCTTCTGGGTTTTCTTCACAGATATTCTCTCCGTAGGAGACTCCAGTCTCATCCAGGTGCTTTTTGAAGAATGTCTGTCCTAGTTGCCATTTTCCTTGCAATCACGTGTTGGGGCCCTCCTGTCATGCATGTCACCTGTTGCACTGCCTCTATCAGTCAACTTACAACTGAGGGGCAGGGGGACTGCCTGGCCTGGTCCCCATCCAGACTCTTACCAGATGCATAATGGTCAGAAGATTCTTCCTCTAACTTAGTTTTCTCATCTATAAAATGAAGATGATGATGAAGGCTATCTGATAAAGCTGATATAGAGATGAATTGAATTAGTGCATGTAAAAGAAAACAGGGAGCTTATTTTTAAAACAAACAAGCAACACATTTTAGCTGTTATTATTGCTGTTATTGCTATTTCCATTTTCTCCTCCCTGAACCTTATGGGTGCTTACTCCTGGAGCCATAGCCAGGGGGCCCTCCTCTACAGGCCTGGGGGATAAGAAAGAACAAAGCTTTAAGGCATAATTTTAAAAGAAGAGCTTTAAGAGTCATGCTGAGGTTCAGATCCCCATCTCTTCTTTACCAGCTGAGGAACTTCAGGTGAGTTACCTAACTCTTTGGGTCTTGATCACCTTTGTAAATGTTGTATAGCACCCACATCAGAGTGATGCATTGAGGATTGAGATAATGAGTATCACACTGGGCCAGCTTGAGCCACCTACTCAACAGTTTCAGAAAAAGAGGCTTTTTCTGAACAAATAAAAAAATAAGCAACAACAAAAAGCTTTCAGAGAAAAGAAACTCCTTGTATTTAGGAAGTAATAGGTATTCTTTCTCTATCATTCATAATATAAGCACAGGAAGAAATTAAATCTATTTCTTACCCAGGATTTAATTCAAAGCCTGACCACAGTTTTTTTTTTTTCTTTCAAGTTGTAGATGGACACAATACCTTTATTTTATTTATTTATTTTATGTGTGCTGAGGATTGAACCCAGTGCCTCACGCATGCAAGCCACAACCCCAGACCTCATGGTGTTTTTGTTTGTTTGTTTGTTTGTTTCAAGAACTAACAAAGCCCAGCCATACCATACCAACAATGCCAGGAGATGCAAACTTGACTTGTGAACTTGACTTCTCTAAGGGGACAGAAGAAAATCAGGATTCTTACTATCTTACTGCCTGGTTCCCATGGGACTACCATTTTAGTCTGGGGCCTGTGGAGCCCTGGCCTTTCCCAGGGCCTTCCACTCCAGGAAAAAGCTCAGGCTCAAATTGGAGAGAGCAGGCATCCTCCCTACCTGTCCATCAGGTGAAGAGCCAGGCTGACTGGAACACAAGCCACACTGATGAAAAATTCATAGGAAGTGGCACCCTCTGCAGCAGGGGACTCCAGCAGGTGCAGTGAATAGTTTTTGACAACCGAGAGCACATCTGCAGGTGATTTTCCTAGGATCTAGGTGCCATTTGCATAGGCACACCTTGCCAGGCAGGAAGCACCCAGGGAGTCTCCAGTGAGAATGGTATTACAGAGAGCCTGAGGCTGCGGCTTCTCCCCATCTCTTCTTGCCTGCCTGTTTACATAGTAGCAGTCCCTGGGATCTCTGCAGAGCAGTGCTGTGAAGAATGATCTAGGGGTCCATAATGTCTCAGGACAGGAGGAATTGAGGGTCAAGAGGTGATTGCCAGCTTTCTGGGCCAATAGCTGAGCTCTATGTTGGCGAAAATGAGGTTTCACCCAGAGCTCTGGTTGTTCTGCCTGTCTCCAGTCAGGGGCACTTGAAGGCCATATGTGGACTCAGCTTTTCTGGCTGTGAAACTGGACACTTTCATCGCAACATCAGCATCAGTGTTGGCTTAAACATTTACATTCGCCAGCACTGTGCTAAGGAGAGATTAAATTATTTACTGTGCTGTGTAAACTGATTAAATCTTAGTTTACACCTGTTTACATAGCAGGCAACGAATTGGTAATCAGAAGTTTGCAAGTCGGGTGTAAATCACTGTCCCTTGCCACTTGTGTTTACCCAACACACTGTGCTGGCCTTGTTTCTCCCATGTGGGAAAAGCCCAACATTGTACAAATGGGGCCCTAAGTTCTTCCTGGGACTTGCATGCATGAAGAGAAGAAATGGAGAAAAGCAGGCAGGGCATCAATCCCCAGAGAGCAGGGACATGCTAATTTTATGCATTTGTACAATGTAGTGTGGAGAAAAGCCCTATTACTTGATGGTTGGCGTGACTCCGAGCAGCAGAGTCAACATCTGTGTTGGGTCTTAGTTTTCATATTCATCATATGAAGGAAACAGCACTGTTTTGAGACTGAAAGTTGGGTAATGTATTGAAAGCATTTTGTACAACCCTGAAGTTCACTGCATATACTATGCCAGGTCTTACTTCTTGTTTGTTTCATTTTTTTAATACTTTTTTTAGTTGTAGATGGACACAATATCTTTGTTTACTTTCATGTGGAGCTGAGGATCGAACCCAGGGCCCCACACCTGCAAGGCAAGCATTCTACCACTGAGCCACAGCCCAAGTCCCCTTGTTCATTTCATTTTAAAAGAAAAATACACAGAGGCAGGCTCTTGTAAGACCATTGTGGGCCACACCCTCCTTCAGCCTTTCCATCTCAYACCCAATTCCCCTTCTTCCTCTCCGTCTCTTGTCAATTTCTTTACCTGGCTTCCCCCCCATGCCCATATCTTCCATTTTGATGCTTCTCTGAGTTCTCTTTTCTGTCTTGACGTAAGTAATTTTGAGAGACGGATTGTGGTTCACATACTGAAGATTTCTAAATGCTTACCTGCCACCATAGATTCTTACCTTTGAAGCTCTGAGGGCTGTAAGGCCAAATGCCTGCAGATGTGGCCACTGGGACATCCCAGCTGTCTCTCCAAATTCTTAACTACATAAAACAGACCACTTAATAATTTCTTTTTTTTCATTTTCTTTATTTTTTATTTTTATTGATTTTATTTTTTAAAATACATGACAGCTGAATGTATTTATTACCCATATAGAGCACAGTTTTTCATATCTTTGTATAAAGTATGCTCACACCAATTCATGTCTTTATACGTATACTTGTTTTTTTTATTACAATTCTTATTACACATATATACCACGATTTTTCATGTCTCTGTTTGTATATAAAGTAGGTTGACACCCAATTCATGTCTTTATACATGTACTTTGGATAATGATGCCTGTCTAATAATTTCTTGCAAATCTCCACATCTGTATTCCACGAGGCTGACAGGAGCCCTGGGGCCTGTCACCTGATTCTTCGGTGTCTCTCACCCTCATCAGTCATGAACTCTGACCGAGTGTCATTATCTTACTGACTCACATATATCCCTAGTTCCCTATCCCTGCTGCCACTTCTCTATAATGGACCACTATCATTTTTCACTTCTGATGTGATATTTGAAGGAAAATAATAATGTCTTCCAAAAAACTCAAATTCAATTATGGTATTGCTCACTTAAAACCGAATAAGCGTCCTCTCTGCCATTCCATTTAGACAGGGAAAACAGCTTAAAAGGAAATGGCTTCCTGTCGTGTGTGATCTGTGTGGGCCTTGCTTACCTCTCTTAGCTCTCACTGCTTCCCTGGGGTCACTTCTTTCCAGTCCCACACACTCCTTCTGGACCTTGGGCTTCACAGCTACTGAACTTCTTTTGCTCCTTTTGAGAAGCTTTATGGAGCATGCCTCGGGGCCAACCCACAAGCTCTTCTTTCTGCCCAGAGCTCTTCCCAGTAGTGACCTTTTCCCCCCCAATTCTACTGTCCTGTGTTTAGCATAGGTATGATTTTTGTCCAGGAGCCTACCAGATGCCCCAGACTGTAGGAACAGCTCCTCTGTGTACTTGCACAGCAAACAGATCTTCCTCAGTGACATCAACCACCCCCTGACTGCCAGTGTTCCTGTTGCTCCTTCACATTCTCCAATAGACCATGAATATTTTGCTTCACATTATGCGTCCAATACTCAGTGTGCTCACAGGTTGGAACTCAGGAAATACTGTGTGGATGGAGGAAAGCACTGCATTCATAAGAAAACCCAGGGTAGGATTTTGATGTGAAAGTTAATTTCAAACTGATGGTAAAAGAAAGAGACACATTCTCATCTGAGTTGGTAGAGATCTTTATTTCAGGTGCTTTAATGAGAAAGAAAACTTTAAAATTTTATGCATATGCTTTTCTTCTAGTAATTTTTGCAGTATCAGAAAAGGAATGGTCATTTCTCCAAAGACAGTTTTAATTTTATTTACCCATAGACATTTACACTTGATGAGCACAAGCTAATAATAACAGAGGAAGGCCAGTGCTCTCAGTTCACTACATCAGCCGTCCTCACACTTGGCTGCACATGAGGATCACCCAGGGACATCTTAAAATCCTGCTGTCCAGCTCATGCCCCAGCCAACAGAGGGCCCTGGCTTATAGTGGTTCCACTTTATGATTTCTTGACTTTTCTGTGGTGCAAAAGTGATGGGCATTCATTAGAAACTGTACTTCAAGTTTTGAATTTTGACTTAGCAGTCTGTGGTAGGCACCGTGGCTTCCTGTCAGCCCTATGACCAGAGCCCAGGAGGGTGACTGTCTGGAACCTGAGTGCTATGTGGAGATATATATATATATATATATATATATATATATATATAATTAGTTTATAAAGGGCTTATTGGGTTTAACCCATCCCAAGTTCAGGGACATCAGTATATCAGTGTCTCCAGGGGTGGAACCAGGAGTCAGTGTTTTGAAAAGCCCCCCATGTCACTCCAGTGCACAGCCAGGGTAGAGAAGCC